AGAAAGAGGAAGAAGAGGAGGAGAAGGCAGAAGAGAAGGCAGAGGAGAAGGAGGAGAAGGCAGAGGAGAAGGCAGAGGAGAAAGAGGAAGAAGAGAAGGCAGAGGAGAAGGAGGAGGAGCAAGAGGAGGAGAAGGAGGAGCGGGGACCTGAGTGAGTCTCCTGTCTGTCTGGCTAAGGGCTCTCCCAGGGAGGTGGGGTTCAGTGAGGAGCTGCAGGGCTTCTGGGTGGGGGACTCCCCACTGCTCACGGGAGCTCCTCTTTGTCCTGTGTGCTGCTGGACACTGACCAGAGACAGTGGCAGAAGCTGGGGTCCCCACTATGTGGGACCCCACTGAAATCCTCTTATTCATCACTCAACATCCCCCCACCAACACACATGCATGTGCGTACTCCGGTGTTTTCTCCTTCATGCCCCTGGAGCCTGTGACAGTGCCAGGTGCACAGTAGGCACTAAGGAAGCACTGGCGGAATGCACGGATGGATGCACAGACGCACGCAGTGGGCCCACAGTGCTCCCCTCTGATTAACAAAGCCAAGGGTGTCCCCCCTTCACACACACTCCATCCATCTCGTGGTTGCCTCTGAGGTTGCCTTGGATTCTTCTCTGTTGTCTGTGCATGGCTGATGGCCCACCACATCCATGCTCCAGTGGTAAAACACAAGGAAAATGCAGGTTAATAAAGCAGAGCAGGGAGCGCAGGGAAGGCTGTGGCCACGCGGGCGGGCGGAGCTGCTGGACAGGTGGCTCAGGTGGCGAGGAAGAGATACCAGAGGCGGCGGGCAGCTGAGCACAGTTAGGAGTAGGAACGAGTGGCCCTACCCACCCAGAGCTCCTGTGTCCCTAGCAGGGGCCTAGCAGGAACCCCCAGCTCAGTGGGCTGACCCCTGGGAGAGGGCTGGGAGAAGGCCAATTGTGAGAAGGACATGGTGGGATCTGGCCTGGAGAAAATGCCCCATCTACAGTCACTGATGTCCTCGTCTCCACAAGCCAGGAAGGGGTTAAACCGTGAGACTAACGCAGGATTTCAGGTCGGATGCTTGCTGGGTATCGCCTTTGCTCAGCTCACACTTAATCTTTCCCATCTCGGCGGGAGGCACACAGCCCTGCTCACCTCCAAGGCTGGGCAGCTCACAGCCTCTGGAATGCTGTCCATTCCATCCCCAGGTGCCTCTGACTTGTGAAATTGTTCTTACACCAGAATAAAGCTGCTTCCCTCAGTCTCCGCCTCCATCCCCCAAAGAGAAAGGGAGACTTGAGGTGCAGCCCGCTTCGCTCTGTGCTTTCTGCCTGGCTCTGTGTAGAGTGCCGGCTCTGAGTCGCTCCCTGCTAAACATGTGTACCCGGCACACAGCCTGCAAGCCCCTGGCTTTGCCACTGCTCTGGAGCTGAAACCAGCTGTGCTGAACGCAACAGCTGTGCTCAGCACACGCCCTGACTGTGCGCGTGCTCTCAGAGCGCAGTGCGCACCTTGGGCTGTGCATCTGCTCGGTGCACACAGACGCGCACGCTGAGCTATGCACACAGTTCATGCGCAGACACACACACACCCTGCGTATATGCACAGGCACGTAGAACTCACACACTCCCCCACACGTGTGTGCACATGGGAGCACAGTACACACTTGCACCTATCCGCCCTGGGTGTGCTTTCAATTTTTAAATTTATATTTCCACATGTGTGCAGCACATAATGATTACATGCATTGTGGGGAGTTAATTCCTGCGCATAACACATCTTCCTTCTTTCTTTGTCTCCTTCCTCCCCTCCTTCCCTGCCCCTTCCAGCTCCTGGTCCCCTTCCCTTTGCCAAAGCTCTGTCCCATTTTTTCTCCCAATTCTTTGTTTTCCTCCCCTTTCACTCCCTTCCCTCCGCACTCCCTCCATCCCTCATCCTCCTTCCCATTTGAAAATGATCTCCCTCCTTTCTATTATCTATTACTTTGATCTTTATTTATACTTTGGGTTTCTCATGTAAGAGAAATGATGTGATATTTAAACTTGTGTGTCTGATTTATTTCACTTAGTACTACGTTCTTAAGGTGCATTCATTTACCTACTAGTGACTCGTTTATCCTTCTTTATGGCAGAGTAGCACTCCACTGTGTACAAATATTACATTTTTTTGTCCATTCATCTGTTGATGGACATATAAGCTGCTTCCAAGACTGAGCTATTATGAGCTGTGCTGCTATAAACATGGGCGTGCATGTATCCCTGTAATATGATATCTTTAACTCTTTTAGGAAGATACCTAGGAGAGGAATAGCTGAGTCAAATGGAATTTCTATTTATGATATTTTCAAGAATCTCTATACTAATTTCCATAGTGGTTGTACTAGTTTACATTTCCACCAGCAAGGTAGAAGGGTTCCATGTTCCCTGCAGCTCACCAGCATCTGTTATTATTTGATTTCTTGATGATGACTAGTTTTTCTGGAGTAAGATGGAATCTCAGTGTTGTTTTAATTTGTATTTCTGTAACAGTCAGTGATGTTGAACTTTTTTCATGTAGTTATTGGCCATTTGTACTTCTGAGAAGTGTCTATTCATTTTAGCTGCCCATGTTTTGATTGGGTCTTTTATTTTGGAGGGGTCTAATTTTTTTAAGTTCTTTATATATTCTAGATGATAGTATTCTGCCTGAGGAATAGTGGGCAAAAATTTTTTCCCATTCTGTGGAACCACACATGCTCTTCACTATGTTGGTTATTTCTTTTTCTGTGCAGAAGCCTTTTAATTTGATGTGACCCCATTTGTTGATTCTTGGTACTACTTCTTGTGCCATTGGGTTTCTGTTCAGGAAGTCTTTCCCTATGTCCTCAAGAGTTTTACCTACTTTATCTTCCAGCTGATTAAGTGTTTCTGCTTTAACATTTAGATCTTTGATCCATTTCAATGTTAGTTTAGTATACGGTGAGATATATGGGTCTAAACTCAATCTTCTCCATGTGGACAGCCAGTTTTCCCAGCATCCTTTATTAAAGAGGCTGTATTTCCTCCAGTGTGTGCTTTTGGCTCCTTTTGCACAAAGGTTTGCCAGAGTTTTAAAATCAGGGAACTGTTGGTCCCTAGGCCCAGGACAGCAAGGTTACTGTGGTGACACAGTGGGTGGTCCCAGGACTAGGCCAGCGGGTGTGAGGCTGGACAAGCAGAGCTGGGCTGTCACTGTCTGAGGAAGGATGCATTTGGCCAGCTTTGCAGAGGCATAGGTGACTGATGACGCGAGGGCCCTGGTAATGCAGAGGGTCGCCTAGCAACCCCATCTCTTCAGGCAACAGCTCGGCTTTTCCTAGCAACCGTGGCCTTTTGGTCCCCACCTGGCCTCCCTGGGGACGCTTGTGCAAAGTTCCCTGCACATCCCCTTGGCCTGACTAGAAGCAGGAAGAACTGGTGGCTCAGCTGCCGTCCTAGCCACACTGGCTAGGGATCTGGTCGCCTGGCAGAGCCCAGGCTCTCCAAGTCTCCGCGTGCAGGGTCGACCCCAGGCCTGGGATGAGTGTCCCAGCCCCCAGCTGAACTCCTCCATCATGGGCATCCTTGCCGGCAAAGCCAGACTGACCCAAGTAGGTGGCTGCTTCTGCCTGAGGGCTCCCTCTCTCCTTCCTTCAGTGTCAGCATTTTGGGGGGAGGGAGTCTGCCGAAGGCAATGTGAAGACCTTGACTTGGGAGGCACAGCTTGCTGGGGCGTTGGGAGAGCAGGAGAGGACTGGTTACCCTGGTGAGCTGGCTGCTGCTACTAATCCTAGGCCTTAACCTGGAGGCTAAGGGGGCCTTGGAAAGCTGAGCTCAGCCAGACTTTGATCCTCTGCTGGGAGATCCCTGAGACCTGGGCACTTTCTAAAGGTGGGTGGGCTGCTGCTTCTGAACTGGGCACACTGTTGGGGTGGGGGGATGTAGGTTCGGACACAGAGCCCGCTCCCAACAGCCTTTGGTGATGTCAGCAGGGCCACACATGGAGCTTGCTAGGTGTGTCGATAGCTGAGACTGTTTGTGTAAAATGTTCCCCAACCCACGTGGGTGATTTCATAACTGCAGCTTACCACCTCCTTTGGGACCAAGAATAATGATAAGAGTAATAATACCAACTGCCAGTTGATTAGTACTTTTTCAAGGCCACACATTGTGCTAAGACAGTCAGAATGGCAGGTTCTGTTACTCGTCCCATTTCACAGATTGCGGCCCCAGGGTTCAGAGACAGCACCTGCGTGGCCAGAGCTGCTGGACTGGAAGTGCGGAGGGGGTGGTTCTATCCTGTACTGGGCCAGCTCCAGAGTGAACGCTTGGTGCTGCAGACGAGGAAAGCCCCGATCAAATTTGGAGAAGGCCCTTGTTAACCTGTCTGCACCAGGCTTGCTAGGCACAGGGCCCAGATATTTTTAGGGGCCCATGAGAATATGTTTGGTTTTGTTATTGCTGTTTGATTTTTTTTTGGTGCTGGGGAAGGAATCCACAGCCTCACACATCTTGGACAAGTGCTGTACCACTGAGCTTCACTCCCCGCCTGAGAAGGTTTTAAAATAAGTCCAAAAAAGCTGGGCGTGGTGGCACACTTCTGTAGTCCCAGTACACAGGAGGCTGAGGCAGGATTGCTTTGTTCAAAGCTAGCTTGGGCTACATAGCAAGACCCTGTCTCAAAAAAAAAAAAAAAGAAAAAGAAAAAGAAAAAAAAGAAAGAAAGAAAGAAAGAAAAGAACTTTTAGACAGAAAACGTTGGAAGATACAATAGCAACCTATTAGTCTTCATATGAATGTAGGCATAAAAATATTTGTTATAGATTTTTAGGAGAGGAGGAGCCTATGAAAGCTAATGTGCGCGGGAACTGTGACAGTCAGAATGCAGCCTCACCCTTGGGATTGGAATCTCTACAAGATGTGTTTCTTCTCCTGATTACTTAGGTCCTTCCCAGTGAAAAGAGGAGAAATAAAGTGAATTGGGCCCTTGGATCACCCGGACACTTGTCCTAGTCCTCCCTGTCACATGGGGCGTTATAGATACCCAGGAGGCAGTAGAGGAATGGTGAGCACATGGCTGGACTCAGAGACACCCATGTCCCTCCAGATTGACCTGTACAGGCTGTGTGACCCTGGGTCAGCTGTGGGGCCTCTCTGGGCCCTTGCTTTCTCGGCCACAGTCCTGTCTCTCAGGGCTGTTTGGGTGGAGATTCAGGGAGACTATGTGTGCACAGTACTTGGCACCATGCCTGGCACACAGGCCAGGGGAGCTGCATGGCAGTACGATCACGGGCTGATCTCCCAACTGGCTGGCTCCAAAGTGACTCAGCCACAGTCCCGTCCCTTCCTCTTCTCCCACCTTGGGACGCAGAGACTTGGCCTGTGGGTGGAGGATAGTGAATCCTGGCAGAAATTCCCACGAGCCCCTCGGTGACATGAATCTATTAGGAAGCAGGGACTGATTCTAACTACAAAATTCACGTGAGCCCCTGTTCTTTTCATTTCTATTTTTTTCCAGACAGGATCTCACTTGTGGCCTCACTCTGTGGCAATCCTCCTGCCTCAGCGTCCTGTGTGCTAAGATATTACAGGTGTACGTCATCATGCCTGGCCTAGGTTCCTAGGTTTTTTTCTTGTTATTGTTCGTTTACTTTTTTTTTCTTTTTCTTTTTTTTTAACTTTGTTTTTCAATACTAGGAATTAAACCCAGGGCCTTTGCACTGAGCTACATCCTTAGCCCTTTTTATCTTTTTTATTTTGAGACAAGGTCTTGCTAAGTTGCTAAGTTGTCCAGGAGGGACTTAAACTTGTGATCCTCCTGCCTCAGCCTGTCCGAGTGCTGAGGTTACAGGTAGGCAGCTCTGTGCTCAGTGAAGCCTTTGATCTTGAGACATCGTTTTAATCCAGAACTCATACAGGGACATCTATGGGGCCGGTTTTGTCTGGAGACAAGTTCTTTATGATAGTTACATAGTAATATTCAAATTCATTTGAATTAAGTGTCAGCATCTAAATACTGAGAAATTCTACCTTTGAAACATACAATTTAGCTTCCTTTCAAAAATTAGAAGGTCTGGCCACCCCAGGTCTCCAGTCTAAGTGGAGCGGGCTGCTGCTTTCAGACGGACACGAGTCCTCCCCTTCACCACAGTCCTCGCTGTGCCCTGTAGCCGCACCTTGCCCTGCCACTCGTGGATGCCTGCTGCCTGGGCCAGGGACCGCTGACACTTGCAGCAGTCGCAGGGTGGCTCTGATCTTAGGGAGTAGAAAGAACTGGGGCTGAGGTTCAGGGATTGTGCGGTTTTAGCCAGGTCAGTTCATGCCTCTGGTCCTCGCTGTTCTATACTCCCTGCCCTACCTGCAGCCCCAAGGTGGCCTGGAGACTCTCGGGGGAAACCTGGGGGTGTGCTCTGGACAGATACAGTACCCTGTGGGCCGCCCTGCATGCTTTTCTTGGCACATGTTGTCACCCCTTCCCAGACGTCCTTCCCACCTGTCCCTTGTTTTAGCATCACCATCCTGAGGTCCCGCTCACAGGCCACCACCTCTGGGAAGTCCCCCCTCCCAGGAGAGTCATGGCATGTCCTGCAGCCCCTGGCTGAGCACATCTAAGAGGGGGTGATGGTCCGCAGGACGCCGCCCTGGGAGCCTTATCGAGTGACGACCTGGAGCTGGGTGTCTCTATCTCTCTGCTCGTGGTCAGAGTGTGGCTGTCAGCAAGAGTCAGGCCGTATTGAGCCCCTCTAACATCTGCTCTTTCCTGCCAGCTCTCTGGGTCTCAGTGTCCTGCTGGATAGCTGTTTGGTGGCACAGACGGGTGTGGACCAGAGTGACGCAGACGGGACCCAGTGCTGGAAGGCCTCGCTGCAGGTATGGAGGGCCTGCATGTGCCTGGCGCTACCAAGCTTGGGCTGGCATCAGTGAAGGACTGGGCTGCACTCGTGGGTGCCTGCTGCCTGGGTGGCATCAGTGAAGGACTAAATGTCCACTGCATTTAGTGGGGTGGGATTCAGCTGGCGAGATGCCCATGGGACAGAGGGAGGAGGGTGGTAGCTGCACTCCTTACCAAGGGTCACATGGTGTCAGGAGGGATCTTGGGGAGCAGGTGGACCTGGGCTGAAGTCCCCAAGTGACTGCCCCCTGCTCTGTGGCCACCTGTGGAGAATGGGGGCACAAGCGCCTCCCGGTATTTGTAGGAAGATCCAACAAGGGCATGCACCGTGAAGTGTGAGGCAGGGGGATGGTGCGGTCAGGAGAGTGACCATTCTGGCTCCTGCATCTTCTGTTCTTTTGCAGGAGACGCAGGAGGAGGCCGTGGCCTGCTCAGCAGGTAGGTGGGGCGGGGCTGAACACACCAGAATGTCCAGGGCACCTCAGACTGGGGCATCCATACCCTTCCCTCCCTCCGCCTCCTCCCTGCCTGCTCCCCCCACCAGCCCTGTTCTTGGCAAAACCCATCCTCTGTGTCTTCGGGCCACATTGTCACAGCCAGGTGATGTCTCTCAAAGGTCATAGGGGAATGGCAGAGGCCCTAGGGCTCCCGGGGGGCTGGGGAAGCCCTGCCTCCACCAGTCCCTCCCACCATCTCCTCTCCAATGGGACTTCAGCTCCAACTATGGCCCAGGGCCCAGCAAGGGTTTGGCAAGGACATAACATACCTGAGCACAAGTGAGACCAGAGCCTGAAGATGGTGTATGCTAGACTCCCATCTCTCTATGAGCTTGCCAAGCGCTCCAGGCTATACCCAGCACATGCACTTTGCTTGGATTTACACCCTACCCCCAATGCTGAGCCCTCCAGGAACCACGGGAAAGAGGCTACTGAAACCTAGCAACAGCCAAGCCATTGCATCCATGAGGCTTGTGGTGTTGCATGCCTCACACACCTCCATGTTCCTCCAAACACCGGTGCTTCTGCCACCTCGTGAGGCAGACCGACCATTTTACAGATGACAAAACTGAGGCTCACTATGTACTGGGTTTGGCCAGAAGTTCTGCATTCACTCCTGTCTCCTCTCCCTCTCTTTACTGTGTGATCTAGAGCCAGTTCTGTGACCTCTCTAAGTCATGGTTCCCAAATAAAGAAAAATGGAGCAATAGCAGTGCCTACCTCATGGGCTCTTGGAAGAGGAGCAGAGACAGCACACCAAAGGCCCCCCGCATTGTGGGCACCTCCAAGGGAGGAGTTGATAGCAGAGGTGGCCACTGAGATGGCTCTGGCCCCATGCTAACCCAGCTGGTCTTTGGAAAGTATACCCTGTGAACTTCAACACGAGTCTGTAGGGACTTCCTAGGCCAGGCCCGATCCTGGACCTGCACGTGATGGGCAGCACCAGCCAGGTGCGGTCGTCCTGTGACTTGGAAGCAGGTGTTCCGGGAGCGGCACTCTGAGAAGCCCCAAGGCATAGCCATTTGTCCTTCACACTCAGAAGCGTGGACCTAGGTCCAATAGCTTTGGCGCCCCTGGGAGCTGAGTAGAAATGCAGAGCCCCAGGCCCTACTCAGACCTGTAGAGCCCTAATCGACATTATAACAAGACCTCCTGGGGATGCGCCCACACATTAGTGTCTGAAAGGTGGTGGCCATGAACTCTGGTTCTCAAACTTGACTGCACCATGGAATCAAGAGGAGAGAAAGTTTAATTTAATGTTGTATTAATGCATATTAATCCTAGAATATTGGGTTTCATTGTGACCTTTTCATGCCTATGACATACTTTGATCATATCCATCTTCCCATTACCTTCTTGTCCATTTCCTTCCTCTCCCCCTTATTCCCTTCCTCTTGTGCGATCAGAGGCTCCATTCTACTTTCATGTCATTTTTTTTTTTTAGCTCTCACATATTAGGGAAAACATACGATACTTGTCTTTCTGAGTCGGGCTTGTATCACTTAATATGATGACCTCCAGTTGCATCCGTTTTCCTGCAAATGGCGTTCGTTCTTTACGGTTGAACGATAGTCCCTGGTGATGCTGGATATATCATGATTTCCTTGTCCCTTCCTCCACCGATGAGCCTCTAGGCTTGTTCCTTATTTGGCTATCATGAATTGTGCTTCAATAAACATGGGCATACCGATATCCCTGTAGCATGCTGACTTCATTCTTTGGGTGTACACCAAGGAGTGGGGTAACTGGATCATATGGTAGTTCTAGTTTTAGTTTTTGGAGGAACCTCCATACTGATTTCCACAGTGGCTGTACTGGTTTGCATTCTCATGGAGGAGACTTTAAAGTTTCTGATCTGGCCTCACCCAGACCATTAAGCCAGATCACTGGGGACAGGCCTGGCCGTCAGGAATTCTCACCCCCTCCTCAGGTCATCTCAGTATGCAGCCTAGTTTGGGTACCAGGGCCCTAGGGAAAGTGACTGCTTCTGGGTGGAAGTGAAATTAATTGGTCTTTAGAGTTTCTTTGGACTAGAAAATTCTGCTGGGCTAAGAATACTCGACCAGGGTTCTATGTCTCTGAGAGACTATGTGTACTGGGTTCTGTGAGTCTGTTTTTGAATCTAAGATGGGAAATGCTACTATGCTTCGTAAGCAGAGAAAGCAGGAGAAGCCAGGGAGGGGGGATCCGGTGCTGTCCCTTGGAGCTTCTGGGTGGACCGGGCAGGGCCTGGTGACTTTTGATGTTGAACTTCGGGACAAGCATGATGCTTCAACCTTGCAAAGGGCTGTTGCCAATACAGGTGTGCACCAGGCTGCTCTGCATTGGCGCCACTTACGTTGTCCCCCGACACTGTGATTGCAGCCCCTAGCGTCACACCTCTGCCTGCGACCTTCTGGCCCCAGCACCATGACTAACCCAGGCCGTGACATGGAGCTGAATCGCCTGGTCCAGGACCAGCCACCTGGCCAGGGGGCCCTCAGGCCTGGCCCCCAAAACCTGGCAGAGCACCTCCCCAACGTGCCCAGCTACCGCCCCCCAATCACCCGCATCCCTGTCCTCATCTCCCGGAGAACAACCTTGTCCAACTCCAGCTTCGCCAAGGAGACCAGGAGCTCCATCCGTCGCCTAGGTAGCATGACCTCAACGCCCAGCACGCTCGCGCTGTGGTGTGTGCTTCTGCATGGCTTGGCATGTCTTCCTGCATGGGTGCGTGGTCATGGGTGGGACCGCTGTTATGATCATGGAAAGCCACCCCCTCTTTCTTTATCCTGTTTTACAGTGGTCACTTGAGGGACTTTGGATCCTTTTGCTCCATGCCTAAAATTTCACAATTAGCAGTTCATTTCTTTGGGTTACATAATTGCTTTTGCAGTGATCATTTTTTATAGAGGCAGTCACTCACACTCTAATAAAGAGTCACTCACTCAGATCCCCAAGCTGTGAAGTTTGGACAGAGAGCCAGCGAAGGAAGTGAGGACAGGAAAAGGAAGGAAACAGAAGAGGAATGGGGTGGGTGCTGCCGACAGAATCTGGTGGCCCTGAGCATACACTGGGAGCTGGACTTTTGCGGGCTGGGGAAGAAGACGTGAGGGCAGAAAACAGGGCCTGGCACGTACTAGGCAAGCTCTCTGCCACTGAGTTACAATCCCAGCCCTTTTTGTCTTCTTATTTTGAGACAGGGTCTTAGTGAGTTACTCAGGCTGGCCTTGAGCTTGGGATCCTCCTGGCTCAGCCTCCCAAGTATTTGAGAATATTACAGAAGAGCGCCACCAGGCTTGGTTGGGAGCTGGACTTTCTGAGGACTGTTGATATCTGCTCAGCCAATCCCATCTCAGGAAAAGAGTAGCTGCCGGGCATAGGCAGGCAGGCCAGCAGGAAGTGTGTCCTCAGGAGCGGCACTGAGAGAGGGTCTGTCTGGAGCCGTTTAATGGTGTCAAGTCCCTGTAGGGGCCTCTGGGCTGGGGGACGAGGTGCTAAGGGAAGTACTCGTGCCTCTAGACTCACCCATGATCGCTTCCTGCCGGAACTCCGGCCTGACCCCCCAAGTGTCTATCACCTGAGGCTGACACTGCCACGCATCCAGGGAGGCATCAGCAGAGACCCCGCCTCTTGTCTCCTCTTGCTGCTGCTCAGTGGCATGGAGTAGGGGGAGGTGGCACTCAGATCATCCCTGCAGCAAGGGTGATTCCCAGGCTCTGTCTGCCTGTGACAACCCTTGAATGTACTTCTGCAGGCTGCTCCCCCAGTTACAGTTACGTTCTGGACCAACTCTACTTTTATTTTCTATATTTCTTTCACTGGATCCCCTTTTTCTATTTAAGTGTATTTAAACAGGGAAACTTCTTATCCCCATTCAAACGAAAAACCAGCATTGCTTGCTATCAACAGACAAGATCAATAGAAATAACCACAGACACTGAGAACAAAATAACAGCGAGACTTGCTGGTGGCTGCAGTGGCCCAGGGGCTCTAAGTGAGTCCTGGACTCTCAGCCCCAAGGGTTTTACCTGTGTCTGAGAGGCTTCAGGTCAGGCTGTGGCAGCACCAACCTGAGACCTCCCCTCTGTGTATTAGGGATTGAGAGAGAATTAAAATAGGAGTCACGTTCTTATTCTGTTATCCTTTCCCTGGTTGGGACATCTCAGACTGTCTTGGGTCTTCCCTGGCCCCTGGGCCCCTACACTGCAAAATGTTCCCCATGACACTGAGCCAGTAGTCTGGCCTGCCAGAGGTACAGCACGTGATGGCTGCAGGTGCTCCAGAGGGGGATGGAGCAGGCAGAGCAGGAGTGAGGCCCCCTATGGCAGTGAGGCCACCTGGCACCTTCTGAGCTGGATCCAAGTCCTGGCTCTGCAGTAGGTGTCCTAGCACCTCTGTGCCTCAGTTTCTCTCCTATACATGGGACAAAGATAACAGCTACCTTATAGAACAACTGGGAGAATCAGAGAGTTAATAGAGGGTAGTATATTCCTAGAGTCTCAGCTACGAAGGAGGCTGAGGCAGGAGGAGTCTGAGGCCAGCCTGGGGAATATAGTAAGACCTTGTCTCCAAAATCAATAAACAAAAGAAAAAAAATATATATATATATATAACTTAGTGGCTAGCAAAACAAATGGTGGCAGGCATGTAAGAGTACTTGGCAACAAATGTGATTCTCTACACCAACCCAATGTAAGATTATTCTTTATATTTCTAATACTATTATTCTTAGTCTCTACCTCAACATCACATAAGCCAGTATCATTTCTATCCTGAGGTCCCACTCTACAGAGCGGGTGGGGAATGGAACGCAGTACCAGTCTAGCATTTCCCCTTCTCTGTTGGGGGCGGAGGACGCAGGGTCTGACCCAGGGCCAGGCAGGGCTTGGGGCGCACCTGCCCCTCCTTGGCTCCCCACCACGGCTCACTGCACACACCCTAAGAGTGCAAGGGCTGCGGTGGCCCGGCCGCCCCACTCCCCACCTGGCTGGCCTGTCCAGCAGGATGAGGCCCCTCCTTCTTCCCTGAGGCTGGGGAATCTCTTGTCAGTCCGGCAAAGTGTCTCCTTAAGTTTTAAAAAATGTCCCCATTCCTGCTCTTCCCTAGAGGGCTCAGGGTTTAGTAAAACAAATGCCAGAAAGTCTTGAAGCTTCCTTTGGTTCCCTCCATCAAAGTATTAAATAAGTGCAAGCAAGTGCACTAAGTGTGCGTTTCCCCCAAGTCACCATTTAAAAAAGCACAGGGGGCGGGGCATGGCTCGGGGCAGAGCGTCTGTGTGGTGTGCGTTTGAAGCTCAGTTCTGTCCCCAGCACAAATCCAATTATTTCAGAATGCTCTCCCTGCCCTGCCTTGCTGGTGCACAGCCGTGGGCATGGCAGGTGCTGGGTTCCCCCCACAGTGTAGGAGGTAGGGCGCCAGCCCAACACCTGAGCTTGGACTCAGGGCGGACCTGTCCCCATGGTCCCCGAGGTGAGATGCAGCTGAGTAGGGCTGTGGGCTCCGCAGGGAGAACCTGCTGCTGAGGCATGAGGCAGGGAAGCTGGCACCAGGCCTCTCAGAGGTCCAGAGATGGACTGACCGCCGTGAGGGTGAGCATGTCCTGCCCAAGCCGCCTGCTCCGCTTGGTGGGAGGGAAGCTCCAGATGTCTGCACTTGACACGCGGCCAACCCTCCAGGCTTGGAAGGCATTACCACCTCTACCTTGGAACGGGGAAACTGAGGCTCCGAGAAGGGAAGCAGCTGAGCCAGGCTGTGCTAGATCAGGCCCTGGCCCCAGCCTAGCTGCCTTCCCTCACCCCCACCCTGCCCAGCTCTGCTGCCCGTGTCCTCCCCAAGTGTTGCCCCCCACCCAAGGCCGTGCATTCTGGCACCCAGTGCATGGAGCTCACCTTGGGGCCTTTCTGTGGGTGAGGCCCCCGCAGACCTGCACCCTGCACGCAGCTTTCTCACGATGCGCCCAGGCCCCGAGGACCTGCTTCCCCCCTCCCTGACTCTCTCTCTCCTTCCTCTCCCCAAGTGCCTGCCACGGAAGAGCATCCCGAAGTACAGGTGGAAGACACCGATGCCGACAGCTGTCCCCTCATCAAGGAGGAGAAGCCGCCTTCGCCTGCCCAATCCAACACTCTCAGTGTCCCAGGCTCGGCTGCAGGGGTGCACAGGTGACCCTTTATGCTACTCATGGGCTTTTCTCAGCACAGCGCCACCTGTCCATTTGGTAGATGAGAAGACTGAGGCCAGAGAGGGGAAGCAGCTGGCCCAAAGTCACACAGCAAGCAGGTATCAGGACAGAGACTCCAACCCCTTTCCTGTCTCTCTTTGTTCCTGGCTTAGAGCTTTGTATAGGGGCCGTCTTTGGAGGCCCTGTCCAGGACACCTTCAGAGTAGGACAGAAGGTACAATATTATGGTAAATAATAAAATAATGTATAATAAATATGGCAACTAATTTCTACTCCCTTATTTTATGTTATATTTTACTTTTTTTTGGCAGGATGCTGTTTAGTCAAATATGCATATGATTATAAATTTCCAGATCACTTTTTACACTCTTGTTTTTTTTTGGTAGGGGGGCATGGTCTCATTTACATAGTTCAGGCTAGCCTTGAATTCACCATGTACCACAGGTTGGCCTCAAATTCAGTGATCCTCCTGCCTCAGCCTCTTGAGTGCTTAGATTACAAGCATGTACCACCACACCTGAATTCCCCCCCCACCTTAACAAATGTAAATGTCCATGGCAGTATCGTTAACCATAAGCACAAAGTTATGAGCAGCTCTGTAGAACTTCTCCTCTCACGTAGCTGAAACTCTGCACCTACGGACTGGCAACTGTCCTCCCCACCGCCCACAGACCTGTAGTGCCACCCTACACTCAGCTCCACAGGCTTCACTACCTTAGACACCTCGTGTAGGTGGAATTGTTAATACTTGTCCTCCAGGGCCTGTTTTATCCACGTAGTGCAGTGCTGTATCATTGTCATACCTTGCTGTAGCTATGACAGGGTCACCTTTTGTCCTAATGCTGAGTAATAGCCACTGTATGCATACACTACGCTTCCTTTATCTACCCCACCGCTGGCCATTTAGATTACTTCCACCTCTTGGCTATTGGGAAAATAGGGTGAAAATGCCTCTTTGGATCCTAATTTCTTTTTTTCTTTCTTTTGATTTTTTAGAGACAGGATCTCGCTATGTAGTTCAGGTTGGCCTTGAACACACTGTGTAACCCAAACTGGCCTTGAACGCATAGTGATCCTCCTGCCCCAGCCTCCTGAGTGCTGGGATTACAGGCGTGTGCCACTGTGCCGGGCCTAATTTCAGTTAGTTTGAACGGATACCCAGAAAAGGATTTCTACATCCTATGGTGGTTCTACTTTTTTTTTTTTTTAAATGAACTTTTACACTGCTCTTCATGGTGGCTGTCCCATTCCACATTCTCAGTAACTGCACAGGGCTGCAATTTCTCTACACTCCAAGATTTTGTATTTTGTTGGGCTGTTTTTTTAAGTGATAGTCATCCTAACAGGTGTCAGGGAATAGCTCACCCTGGTCTTGACCAGCATTTTCCTGATGGTTAGTGATGTTGAGCACCTTTTCTTTTTGTGGTCCTGGGAATGGAACCCAGGGCCTCCAGCAGGCTCGGCAAGAGCTCTACCACCAAGCTGCATGCTCAGCCCGAAGCACCTGTTCACATACCTGTGCGTGCATCTCCCTTGGAGAAAGGTCTCTTCAAACCCTTAGCCTAGTTTTAGTTTGATAAGTTGGGTTTTGTTTTTGTTTTGGTATTTAGTTGGAGGAACCCCATATTTCTTTTGAATAGTAACCCTTTATCAAGCAAACAGTTTGTAAATACAGCATTTTCTTGCATTCTGTTGGGTTTTCTCCCCCCTCTGTTGCTTATTTACCTTAGTGTGCAGAAGCCTTTTAATTTTGTATAGTTTCACTTGCCTATTTTTGTTTTCATTACCTGTGCTATTGGGGCCATCCTCTTGCTTTATCATTAGATGCTGTCACAAAAACACTAAAGAACCTTAGACGAATAATCACTAACAACCCTGCCATACAGTGTTTTTATTTTTCTGCATTCTCTTCCTTGCTCATGGCCAGGCCCGTGATTTGGGGTGGTTTTCATTGAAGGAGTGATGCAGCTCAGGTTCTGACCTCCTGCCATGGGCTTTTTTCCTCATTTCCAGCTGCCCCCTCAGTGCTCATGGGTGACGGCTTCTCCATGTTCCTCCAGTTCCGTGGGGCGGAGAGAATTAACAAGGCCGCTCTTCTTGGGCTCTGTCCATAACGGCACGTGGCCACCTTGGCCTTCTGCTGTCTGCCCGTAGGTCTTTCAGGGTAGGATTCTTAGTCAAGATCATGCACATTTTTATGTCTCTTGAGATAAATTTGTAGCTGAGTGGTCAGAGTTGCTTTTGGACAGCTGGAACCGGGTAACTTGGAATAGTGCAGTACAGTGCTTTTTTCTTTTCTTTTCTTTTTTTTTTTTTTTTTGTCTCTTTGAGACAGGTCTCACTATGCAGTTCAGGCTGGTCTTGAGCTCACTTTGTGGCCCAGGCTGGTCTCGAACTCACAATGATTCTCCTGCCTCAGCCTCCTGAGTGCTGGGATTACAGGCAGGTGCCACCACGCCTGGCAGACAGTGCTTTTTAAATGCCTGCATTTCCATTCTGGGGGAGCTGTTGGTGCTCCTTCAGCACTGACTGGATAGAGAGATGGTTCTCTTTTCTTCATTTTTGCTCTCATCCCTGAGCTCCTGAGTAATTTCTCAGCTGAGATTAGGAGCCTGCCAGAATAGCAGGAGAGGGCTGGATGTGGCAAACTTTCAGACTTTAGTGGAAAAAAGAGACATCATCTCACTGAGTTCAGGAACACAGCTTATAGCTCTACCACTGCCCATGTTTAGTTTACTAAATTATGCATGGGGCACATTGGAAGATCCAGAAACAGTGCTGCGTCGGTCAGAGGTGTACACTGCCATTCCCTGTACGTGGGCAGGGAAGCTATAAGGATGGTGAAGTCCTGTGGGCAGAGAGTTACACATGGGCTGCGCTGGGGGTATTTTGAGGGACAGGGAGGGGGCTGAGGTGACGTGGGCCTCCTGCCTGTGCGCTGAGCCTGTGAGGCTCCTCTTGTCCTTGTCACTCATCCACACTCACAGAGTTATTGAGCATCTCTGGGTTCAGGGCATGGAGGAGAAGCCTGACAGGGGCCTGCACTGGCTCGTGGCCCTGAGAGAGACATAGAGCGAGTAATCAAATACCAAACAAGTGCTTAGTTGAACTTGACCGTGAGTGTGGGGTGGAGCCTCTGCCTCAGTCTGGCCTGTAGGCGGAGTCCTGTGGGCTGATGGGAAAGGCCAGTGGCACAGCAGTCAGGGGCAAATGAGCCTGCGGGCAACTGAGGGAACCCCAAGGCCATGGAGAACACAGCTCTGACCAAGGGGCATCAGGCAAAGCCCTTTTCCCAGTTTAGCCTGGTTGGAGGCCCGGGCTAGGGGTGTGGCATGAGCCCCACTTATCAGAGGCTGGCCGTGAGGCAAGTCAGGGACCCTCACTAGGGCTCCCTCTTCCCCCTGTGAGGGGAACAGGATTCCCACAGCTGTTGGAATTGGGGGAGGGTTTACCAGTTGCTCCCTTGAGCTGCTCTGCACAGGCTGGGGATGAGGGCTATGGCTTAGCGCTACACTCAGGATTCACCCAGGCCTAGGAAGGGGCCCTGGCTGGGCATGAGAGGATGGAATTTGGGTGCCCAGTCTTGAGTCCCAGTCTTTTTGTGTGAGGTTGTCCTCTTTCTTTTATGTTCTACCCCACCTGCCCCACTGGGGATGGAACAGTGATTTGCCCGGTGATTTGCCCCATAGTGGGGATTTGCACTGAGCTACATCTCCAGTTTTTTATAATTTTTATTTTGAGACAAGATTAACCGAAGTCTCTAAGTTGCTCAGGGTGGGCTCAAACTTGTCATCCTCTTGCCTCAGCCTCCCAGAAGCATGAAGGAGGCGAATCTGTGAGTTCTGCCATCCTAGGCAAGTTGGCAGAAGGTAACGGGATGGTTGACAGCCTTCTGGAGGAAATGTGCATGCTCTGTGTCCCTCTTTCTGTGTCCCGCTAGAAACCCGGATGAGGCTGGGGAGGCTGGGGAGGAGTCCAGGCCTGGAAACCTGACGTGACTCAAGCTGGAGTGCCGAGTAAGTGCGGCATCTGCACAGAGAGGGCCTAGGCCCTGCCCCCAAGGTCCTCCCACCAGTCTGTAACTGGGCCTCTGGGCCAGCTCAGAACCTTTGCTGACTCAGGAACCGTGCAGGTCTCAGCAGCTCGGGGCAGCTGGGGCAGCTCGGGGATCAGCTCTGAGGAGTCCTCTCAGAGAAGGGGCAGAGGAAGGCTTCTCTGACTCTCCACTGGGAGAGGTGGGTTGTGGGGACCAGGCTGGCATTCCCAGTTTCAATAGCGATTGCAGGGAAATAGCCAATCATCATCCACACAGGTTGAAGGTTCCATGTGGGTCCATTTCCGGTCAAACCCCGCTGACACGAGCGCCTTGGTGGACGGTAATCATGGCTTTCCCTGGAAGGTCAGGAGCCAGGGCCTGTTTTCCAGAACTCAGCCATGACATTTGTCTCCCGCAGAGCCGTGGCTGAGGACCCCAGCCAGGCCATCCTGTGTTCCCCCAGGCTGGGGACGGTGCAGGTTTATTGCACTGCCCCTGGGCCTCACAGTGGGGTCAGCCGCTGCAACCGCTCTCTGGTCCCAGCTTGCCTTTCATTTTCACATCCCCAAAGCTGGCCCTTCCTGTGGGTCCAGCTGTGCATGTTTACCACGTTCTGCCCATGTCTGGCACACTCTGGTTCAAGTCCTAAACTCATCTTCCTGTTACCGACTGTTCTGACGCTTGTCTCTCTGAGCTAACCCATCTGCTAACATTCGCACCCACGTCCCCAGACTTTTAGTTTCACGTGTTAACACTTGGCATTTTGTGTTTCACGTGTTGTACAAGTCATTAAGAAATGACCATTCTTGCCAGCACTGTGGTGCACACCTGTAATCCCAAATACTCAGGAGGCTGAGGCAGGAGGAGTACATGTTTTTATGTCAGGGTTGGTCAACATAGTATAACCCCATCTCAAAATAAAATTTTAAAAGGCTGGGATTGTAATTCAGTGGTAGAGTACTTGCCTAGCATGCACGAAAAGAAAAGAGGAAAAAAATAAAGGCAACCTTAGTTATGTATGTCTTACCAGCCACTTGGGAAGCTGAAGTAGGAGAATCATAAGTTGGAGGCCAGCCTGGGCAACTTAACAGGAATCCATCAAAACTCAAAACGCAAAACAACAGCAAATGACCATTCCTCCCCACTAGCATGCAGTCTATTAACTTATGAGACACTTTCCAGTGGTACATATTGACCTGGACTGGGAGCTCTGTGATTCTACATTAGCTGATTCTATTCCATCTTTAACAGGACTCTTTCTCTAAACCTGGCTCTGACTTCCTTGCTTCGTGGTATTAACACATTTCTCTCTCCTGCTCTGTTTTCTTCTTCTCAAGTTTCTGGGTTCTCCAGGAGAGCAACTTCTTCTTCCTGCTGAGGCAGAGGGTGGGGAAATCCAGAGAATGAACTCCTCCTCCCTTGCCTGTGCCACACAGCGTCAAGGGGGCCCCTCCCATTGAGCCAGAATGCCCAGGCTCCAACCTGCAGCCCTCAGGCTGGGAGCAGGCTGGGCAAGAAGTTCTTGCCCCTGAGATCCAGGTAGGCCTTAGACACCACTGGCCAAGATGCAAAGGCCTCCAAACCCAGCGCTCTGTGGCAGACTTGGACCTCGTGCAGCCCTCAGATAATGCAGTTTCCATTCCTCAGGTAGGAAGCCAGAGGCTCAGAGGGGATGGGACGCCCCCCAGGTCACACCATCAGCTGGATATTGGACTCCATGGCCTCCTCAAGTGGCTGAAAGGAAAGTGTGGTAGAGAATTGAGATGGAGACTTCGGACTGGAAGTGGGAGGGGAAACGGGAGGATGTTTAGGCCAAAACCTGACTTCTAAGTCCTTCATTTAGTTGGGAAGATTTAGTCCCATTTTACAGACAGGGAAACAGAGGTGGCTCAGAGTTTAAGTTGTTTGCCAAGGCCATGAGCTGGCAAGAGGCAGGACAGGGATGCAAATCCATGCTTGCCAGATACCAAATCACTGCTGTTTCCTTTATGCTGGATCAATGAGCAGATATGGAGACTGAGGTCCTGAGAGCGGCTGTGTCCCTTTCTGCTCCTTTGTGCCTCCTTCCAGGCAAATGAGGATCCTTGGCAGCACCATTCCCTCCCCTCAGTCCTCTACCCAGTAGCTGGCTCGAGGTGACCTTCAGGGGTCAAAGTCATTTGCTTCCCTCTGTGTGCCTGGACCCTTACAGGAAGAAGCTGCCCTCACAGGGTGATGAGGCTGAAGAGCTCAAGGCGCTGTCACCAGCCGAGTCCCCAGTGGTCACTTGGTCGGATCCCGGCACCCCACAGGAGGCTGAGTAAGTGAGGCCACCTCTGGGGCCTCAGACTTGGAAGGCTGGGTGGGGATGGATGGGTGAGGGGACATGGTGGCAGCATGGATGTTTTCAGAACTCCGCATGGGCCAGCTTTGCCAGGGGCTTTAGAGCAGTAAGACAGGGTGGCCCAGGAGTTCTATAAACTCTGAAGAATGGGCTTGGGCCATGTGTCCAGCTGTGTCCATGGCCAGCAGTACTCAGAATGGGAGAGTCTTGAGCCAGAGGTCCATCTGCTAATGATCCTGGCACTGGACAGTGACCCTGCAAAGGTCAGCAGGGCAAGAAAGGACACAAGGATCTCCAGTGGTCCCCACCCAAGAGCCTTGTTAAAATGCAGGTTTCTAGGCCCGGCCCTGCTGTCCTGGGCCAGATCCTCAGATGGTGGCCCTGGGGAATCCACATCTCCACAAGCTCCCAGGTGATTCTGATGCAACTGGTGTGAAAAACAGTGTTTGGAGACCACTGTGAGAGCACTTGGACCTGGTCTCTGACAGCTAATTGTCCCAAGGGGTGGACCAAGGACAAGTGTTTTCTAGGTTTTGAATTACTGGTTGTTGGCGAGTCTCCCCGCCCTGGGAGTCAGGCTGGATGCCCCATCATGCTCCCTAGCCACATCCCCTGGATTAGCCAGGTGACATTAGTCTTGTCTTTCTCCTTCTACTCTTTTTTGTAATCCATAACTTCATGTAGTTCATGCAGTTTATGCTTAACTGTTATAGAAAACTCAAAAAATATGAGTAGTGGGAAAAATCTCAAACCTCACTGTAGTCCAGTTGTCTGTTTTTGCACAGTGGACTCACATTTTATGCTACAGGGTAGAGATGGGGTTAGGATTTAGCATCAGAAAATATGGCAGGAATCAGGTGTCATAATAAAAATTACCCTTGAAATAGCATAAGGAGGTCAACATGGAGACCCATGTAATAGCTAGATAGCTAAAACTGCTGTAACAAATAGGCCCAAGAGGTTCAGCAGCTGAAGGAAAAGAAGAGAGCTCTTATGTCATGGTCATAGCACTGGTTGCACATTTCACGCCAGTTGAAGACTCTGCTCCATGCCATCATTTAGAGATCCTGGTGATGGTGACTCTGCCACCTTCTCCATGTGACTTCCTAATCCCACCAGCCACCACTACAAAGGAAGAGCTCCAGGCCTCTCTTCAGCAAGGAGGCTCTAAATTGCGTGCCCCGTATCTACTCAGTGCCGTTGGTGAGAGCTCACACGGCCACACCTGGGAATGTGGTACATCCCAGCCACTGCTCACAGTGGGAGAGAATGGATATGGGGGCACAGCTTATGTCTCCACAAAGAACTCCACTCGGTCTGTCTCCAGCCTGGCATTCCCAGTTGAGCGTGAGAGGAGGGGTGGACTGGAGTTTCTGTGTTTTGAGTGGCTGCAGTGCAGCCACTCAGAGGAGAACCTGCTCCACGCCCAACGCGGCTCACCCAGGGCACATGCTCTGCAGTGGCAGAAGGTCAGCAGATCATTCGTTCTCTCTCTGTCTCTGCCCCCTCCTCCGCCTCTGCCTCCGTCTCTGTCTCTTTTGCTGGCAGTACATAAACTTTCACTCCTATAAGTTGAAGAGATCTATAATGTGTCCACACTGCTTTTTCCACCAGTTGTTTCCTGAGTTCAAAAATGTAGCCCTGTTCCCCTCTGTGTTTTGCCCAGAAATATATCTCATGTGACTCTCACACTGGGACTAATAGCCTGATTTTGCTGAACTCTGATCCGAGTTCCATGACTTTTCCTCTAAACTTCAAATGGAGGGGCTGGGGATTTAGCTCAGTGGCACAGTGCCTGCCTGGCAAGTGCAAGGTCATGAGTTCAATTTCCAGTACCGGAAGAAAAAACAAAAACCAAAAAAACCAAGCAAAATAAATTTCAAATGGAATAAACAGTTTTTCAGAACTGCCCACCTGAATCAGAGGAGACTTGGTACATTTTCTAAATGCTGGGCCAGAGCACCTGGGTGTTATTGCTGCTGAATTTCCTCCTAGGGTATATACAGTAAAGTGTGTCTAAGGTTTCTGGTGTCAGAAGGAAGCAGGGCAGGATTTACCTCCTGCAGGTTTTGCTAGAAGGTGAGATGCAGAGGGCACCCAGCTCTGCCTGGGTACTGGGTACTGGGTCCCCTCCTGCTTAGTCGCTCGGGCTCGGGGGTGTTCCTGCAGTGACCAGAACCGCGCAGTCTCCACGGCCAGCCAGAACAGCGCCATCATCAATGACCGGCTCCAGGAGCTGGTGAAACTCTTCAAGGAGCGGACGGAGAAGGTGAAGGAAAAGCTCATCGACCCCGACGTCACCTCTGATGAGGACAGTCCCAAGCCCTGTGAGTCTGGGGCTGGAGGTGGCCCACCTGGCCAGGGAGGGAGTGGAGCCCCTACGCCCCTTCCTAGCTCACAGTGAGGGCAAGAGTGGCCCATGGAAATAGTTGGGCTCCCATCAGAGGAAATGAGGGGACCAAACACAGACACATAAGCGAGTGCTGGGCTGGCAAGAGCCTGGCTGGTTTCTTCACACGGAGCTCACAGCAGGTATGGAGTAAACGTGAATCCCCTCAGTTCTGGCTCCAGGCCTGCAGTTAGGAGCTTAGGCCTGAGTCAGATGGTCACCAGTGTCATCCTGCAGCCCCCGTGAAGAAAGCCCCTGAGCCAGCCCCAGCCGCGAAGCCTGCTGAGGTGGAGCAGGTGGAGGAGCACTACTGCGACATGCTCTGCTGCAAGTTCAAGCGCCGGCCCTGGAAGAAGTACCAGTTCCCCCAGAGCATCGACCCCCTGACCAGTGAGTCCTGGGGCACCGTTCTCTGTGCAAGGTGGAGGGCTGGACAGTGGGTGGTGGGAGAGGGCTAGGGGTGTGAGAGGTGGGGAGGAGGCCGTGGATGTCTTACACTTCAGAAGGGTTCCGTATTTCCTCATCTCTTCAAACAAGCAAACAAACAATAACAAGAACAGGAGCACACACTCACATGCCATGATGAGGGAGCTAAGGCGCAGGGAGGTTATCCAGCCTGAGGACAGCAGGTAGTATGGGGCTCCTGAGCCTTGGCAAAACTTTCTACTAGGACCATGATGGCTCCTTCGCAGAGCTCCTGCTCTGAGCAGAGAACTCTGTGTGTGTGTGTGTGTGTGTGTGTTTTTCTTCCAGTGTCTAATGTGAATCCCTCTTGCCTCCCGTTTAGCCTACTCCACAGTGCTCAGGAGTTACAGCACTGCATATGTGCACAGCGCTTCATGGTTTACTTATGGCACATTTCCCTGTGACTGAGAAGAGCACAGTAGGTGCCAGAGAGGGACTTCCTCAAGGTTACGCAGAAAGTCCTTTAGGGGGCAGGACCCCAACCCCGGCATCCGCTGTTTCTCAAGTGACCTGTTGTGTCCATTCATCCACCCCTCCTTCCACCCACCAGTCTGTGCTCCGTGCATTACTTACTATTCTGTATTTACTAAGGCAGGAAATACATTGCTAGAAATTTTTCGAACAGAATGAAAGCAAAGCCAGTGTGATGGCACCCACTTGTAATCTCAGCTACTCCACAGCCTGAGGCAGGAGAATGGAAAGTTCAAGGGTGGCCTGGGCAAGTTAGTGAGATCGTATCACAAAATTTTAAAAGGGCTGGGGATGTAGTTGAGGAAAGAAGGAAGAATAAAGAAGGAAGAAAGAAGAAGGAAGACGGAGGGAAGGAAGGAAGGAAAGAAGGAAAGAAAAAAGGAAGGAACATGTAACAAATGATGTGAGGCAGAGACCACTCAACAGGCTTTTATGAAAGCAACAAGGCATAAGACTTAATATACCTGGGTGCAGGCAGATAGAGGCTAAAAAGACCATCCGTGGGAAACAAAGAAAAGTGGGGGCTCTTTTATACAACTTGATCAAGTGGGAGTCTGGCAAGGGACATTGTGTGAGAACGTCTGAGCAAACAGCAATGGTCAAAGTCCTCAGAGTGTCCAGTGCAAATGTACGGACGCTATCAGGTGTCCTGGTGCTGGGAAGATTCCGTGCTCCATCGTATTTCTTCTTTAGACATCCTGTGTGTGCTGAGGGCAGCAGCACCTGTGCTGAGCTGCGTTTTTCTGAGAATAATATGGTGGCTGACAAATAGGTTGGGTCCTGGGAAAGTCATGCCAGAGGTGAGCCTGATGTTCCCACCTTTTTTTATTATAAACAAAAGGGAACAAGAAGAAGAAAAAGGGAGAGGAGCATCCCTTCCCATTGCTGAGTGGGCAGCCTAGTGGGAAGGAAAACCTTGGGGAACCATTTCATATGGGGGAAGAAGAGCAACCACTGCCGATTAGTGATTGTTCACATGTGGTCTTGTAAGAACTGTGACAGCAGCCTGAAGAGACAGGGCCTGATAAGAGGAGGACTATGCAGACCAACAGTCCTGCTCAGGGAAAGAGCCACGAGGCCCATCCCCCAACATTAGTCCAAGAGTCAGACATACACTGTCTAGTTTCTGAGGCCCTTTCAGTAATCCTTTTTTGGGGCTGGGGATTTAGCTCAGCGGCAAAAGCACCTGCCTGGCAAGCACAAGGTCGTGAGTTCAGTTCCCGGTACCGGAGAAAAACCAAAAAAAAAAGAAACAAAAATAGAACACTGCTTCATATTTTTTGGGGCTGAGGATTTAGCTCAGCGGCAAAAGCGCCTGCCTGGCAAGCGCAAGGTCGTGAGTTCGGTTCCCGGTACCGGAGAAAAACAAAACAAAACAAAACAAAAAACCCAAAAATCAGTAAGCCTTTTTTGTTGCATCTTGTACTATGCCTGACTGATTTGTGTGAATAGCATTTTTAGCTAGGAGAATGCAAAGGCTGCCTCTTTCAGACATTAGGAGATCTAGGCCTCTTTGGTTTTGGAGTTACTGATGCCAGAGAATCAATTTGGGAATGCAAAGTAACAATGGTCTCAGCTATCTCCTCAAGACTTTGAGCTAGGTCTTGAGACAAGGAGGGATAGTAAGAGAGAGAGGTTGACCAGCTATCCCTGTTCCTGTTGCAGCGGTGATTCCCAGGCCAACAAGGAGAGGGATCAACTAGATGGCCCTGTGCTGCCAAACCTGGGCCTTTACTGTGACCCGCAGACCCTGGTTCCCTGGGGCTAGGTCTATAGCTGGGGTAAGATATATCAGTGTGCACGTCCCAGTCTAGTTGGTGGGAAGGCACAGGTAGGTGGAGGTCCCGCAGAGAAAGAAAACACCTTGATTGGGTGGACAAAATTGATCGTGAATACCAAAAAGATATTTAAATTTTCTCTCTTCATTAACCCAAACATTTAATGTGTCTGACAGAACAGTGCCCACAAGCGGTTGAAAAGTCCCTCTGATTTCAGGAATTTGAGGAGTGCCTGTAGTTCATTTTTCCCAGTGGAGGAAAAACCTCTTAGTGTCTATTATCAGCCCCTTGGAGGAATGGTGGAAAGTAGGCGCAAGGAGGCAGTCAGGGTGGGTAGGAGTTCGAGCGCAGGCGTTCCATGGGTGCGTATCTGCACATGGGAGATAATGGCCATTGCGGAAACCAGAGTGCTTGTTAAGCAATGGAGCAGTGACAGTCTGGGAGGGGCTGAGAAGTGAATGGGTTGACTGGGGCTTTGGGTTATTTGGTGGTTAACATGACCAGGGGAGGCTAACAAAGTTGGCGTGAAATTACAGTAGTGGGGAGAAAGGTGTCCGAGCAGTAACCCAGAAGACATATTGCACTGGGTGCAAAGGGGAGCTCAGAAAGTTAGATTGGGGTCTGTGGTAACTGGGCCATCTATAGGCTGATTTGTGTCTTTGTAAGGAGTGAGTCTCATCAGGTAAGTTTGTACAGGCTGGGCTGTTCAGTCAGTGCATTCTCCCTTTGAATAGCATCATCGAGGGGAACCTCCAACGAGGAAAAGAGGGCCACATCTCCTGGAGGCCAGTATGTACAAATAGAGACCCCTCTTCCTGTGGGGATGGTAAGTGAGATTCGTGTTGGCCCCTACATGTGGTGGAACAGGTGCAACCTCATAAGTGGCAGCAGACATGGAGACGCAAAGCCCGCAGTCCCTAGCCAGGGAAGGGTTAACCAGTCCGGTAGGAGCGGGTAAGCTGTACTGCCCTGTACAGAAAGTTGGGTATTGGTGAGGAGACTGGAGGAAGAACATCTGTGGGAAATAGGATTATACTGCCTGATGCGACTGTGTACCTAGGAAGTGATTCCACCCAGGAGGCAAGAAACAGCTAACAATGGAGAGTAAGACCCACAAAAAGAGGCAGAAGGGAAATAGGGGATGTCTGAGGTCTGCTTTATCCTTCATGGGCCTCTCTATCAATCATCAAACAGGAGAGGGAAGAGAAAAAAAGGAAACAATGTGACCTCCTGGTGGGGGAGAAATCACGCAGAGTGCCCTGATAAAGAGATCTTCTATCCAGGTGTAGAAAGACTTGAGAGTAAGAGTCTGAGGATGAAACCAGGTCAGATCAGTGTAGACTGATTGAAGAAGATAGGCAAAGTGACAGGATAGACAGTGGCAGTGCATTTAGGTATTTTCTGGGGTTCAGTCAGCCTGAGGGGTATAGGGGAGATTATTTGTGACTTCTACAAAGAAGAGGGGTCCGGTGAATTGTCAGTAGGGCACAGCTTTATTCTGGAATGGCAAATCCATTGTAGGGGGTCTTGCAGATGATCAGCACTTGGGGTGCTGTAGATGACTCTGCAGGGTCCCTTCCACTTCATCTGTAGGGATGGGGGATTTAAATCTTCAGTCAAAGCCAGGTTATCATCATAAGGTTGAGTGTCAGGAGAAGATAGGGAAAGGTTAGCAGTGTGCATGCTTCTTTTTGGGCTTGTTGCAGACCTGGGAAACAGTCTGATGGGACTGGTCTCCGGGCTGAGGTCTGGCCTGAGCAGAAAGGTGTGGCTGTATAAAAGCTCAAAAGGACGGTATCCTCTAGGCTCCCTAGAGGTGGTGCGCATTCTAAGAAGAGCAATTGAGAAACCAGTCTTTGTGAAGCTGAAGTGTTAATTTAGTGAGATGGGCCTTGTTCGCTCTTCTTTCTGTCTTACCAGATGATTGCGCCAGTTCGGAGTATGAAGGTTCCATTGTATACCAAGTGACCTGGACACCTCCTGAGTAATCTGATTAAAAAAGCTGGGCCATTATCCGACTGAATGGAGGTGGGGAGGCCAAATTTGGAGATTATATTGGTTAGGAGAGAACCAGTGACTGCTGAGGCTTCTTCTGAACTGGTAGGAAAAGCCTCTACCCACCCAATGAAGGTGACAACCCAGAACAAAAGACATCTTTCCTACTTGTGGCATGTGGGTGAAGTCAATCTTCCTGTCCTGGCTTGGGGAGAAATTTCGTGCCTGGTGTGTGGGAAAAGGAGGGGGCATTAGGGAACTCTGAGGCATAGTTAACTGGCAGACAGAGCTAATAGTCTTAAGGAGAGTCTTCCAGGAAGGAGAGCATATAAGAGGCTCAAGTAGTTGAGGTAAGGGTTTGTAACCTACACAGAAACTGTCAGGAAGAGATGAAAGAATAGTGTGGGGTTGTGAGGCAGGAGGAGGGATCTTCCTTGACCTAGGAACCACCCATCCTTTGTGGGGTAGTTTTGATACTGCTGGTGCTCAGAGAGGGACTAGGCAGGGGTGAAGCAGGAAAGGGCACAGTATTGGTCCTTTGTAGCATGGTGGGAGAGACTAGCTGCTTCCTTTGTGGTTTTATCTGCAAAGGCATTTCCCGTGGCTATGGGATCTGACAGTCCTCAGTGTCCTCTACAATGAAGTGTAGCTGCCCATTCTGGCAGAAAAGCTGCCTGGAGA